AGCATAACAAACTATTTATCAATAGAAAGCCAAACAAATGAACTTTCCAATCAAATAAAATTTTAACACGCATCGTTGAACAATAAGAAATGCAAAGTGCTTAAAATTATTGTTTTTTTGTAAATAGTAACTAAAACATGAAATGTGATCATGTTTTTAATTAGTTAAAACTTTTAGAATAGGTTTTTTTAAACTTAGTCGTAATTACATTTAAGCACATGAAATTTGAAACTTTTAAAGTTTTTAATCCGATAAAAAAAAAGTTTTACAAATTGTTAAATTGCAAATTAAACCAGGTAAAATGCGGTTATTAAATCAAAGATTTAATAACCGCATTTAACTTATAGTTAGTTTCAGTTAATTAACTTATAGTTAATTTCAAAATGTGAAGAAAGAAAAAACAAATTTCAATTAATTACGTGTTTTAGTTCTACATTAGTTTTAGTTAATGTATTAGTTAAGTTTAATAAAATGTTAAATTAATTAATAAACCCACCTCAGAAAACGTAATTTACATTTTTTTTTTAGTATCTAATTAAATTGTTGATTTAAAATTATCATAGAAATGAATGTCGCAACAAAATTGGCCTTGGTGCGAAAGGAAGATATGTTCGATAATGAATTGAAATGTTTTTTTTTCAGTGAAAAAGCAAGAGCATATATTTGTCAGGTTCTTGTTGAGGAGACTGGAACTGGAAAAGTTTGTGGCGCACAAATTAAAATACTTATGGATGAAAAACGAGTTAAAAAACCAACCTCAAACATGAAACGTCACATTACAAAAAGTCATGGAGCACTTCATCAAAAAATCTTTCAGGAGCAAGAAAAAAAAAAAACGTACAAAAAAGAATTGTAAAATTTACCAATGTTACTGTATCTAAAAAAGTGATTTAAAAGAAAAATTGATTTTCCTCAAAGTTGATGGAGCGTCAAGACATCGCCGAAGCTTTCTTGGCGTCAATACCCAGTTTTTCTCTGACAACAAAAGAATTTGTACTTTGCAGATTCCAAACTTGTCAAGAACGCTTTCTCTGAAAGCATTCTTGACAAGTTTGGAATCCTCAAAGAACAAATTCTTGGAATTAGTACTGATAAAGGGTCAAACATGGTTAAAATGGTTAATGATTTTGGCAAAGCGGATGAGATAATCGACATTACTGAAAAAGAACTTAATGAAAGACATGACAAATGCGAAAACAATATTACAAAAAGCCAGGATGTTGAAGATGCTAGTAGTGATGCTGAGGAAAATGAATTTTTGAAGAGTAAAATGATGGTTACTTTGATGAAATTTCCAAAAATATGAACACAATTTATCTTCAGCGTTGTGGTGCCCACACACTTCAACTTACTGTCACCAATACAATGAAAGACTCTGAGATCAAAACAATACTTAAATTTACGCGCAAGGTTGCAAAAGCTTGTCGTGCTCCAATACCAATGGAATTTTGCAAACATACAAAACCTTTTAAAGTAATCATATTAGACATTCAAAAACATTCTTTTTTATAGGTGGCAGTTATAGACAACGTAACTAGATGGTCAAGTACGTTTAAAATGCTCAAGCGTCTTTTACTATTACGGGAAGTTGTTAAACAGCTGGAGGAAAAATATCCAAAAGGGGAGTTTGTTGTGCAACCATATCAGTGGAAACAAATGAAGGAATTAGAATGTATTCTTGAAAAACCTGCTATTGCGACACAAAAGTTTCAGTACGAAGATTTCACTCCTGGACACTTTGTCTATGTTTGGGAACTGTTAAAAGAACAGATGATTTAGGGCGATTTTAAAAAGTCTGTCTTTGCTCAAGCCATAAAAAAATCTATGGAAACTAGGGAGGCAATCCTAATGAGTAATCCTTTTTTTTGTGCAGCAGTATTTGCAGACTTGCACTTTCAATGTCTTCTTAACGAAGAACAACAGGTATTTTTAATGTCTTCTTAACTAAATAACAACAGGTATCATAAATATTTTCCGCAGTGTCTTAGGTTTTACACATTTTACATTTTATTTCTTACATTGCAAGTTAAAAATACCTTTTAAAGTTTTTATTTCATTGCTTTTCTAAATGCAAAATAAATACAGAACGATTATTATTTCTAATCCTTACATCAATTTGAGGTAGTTGCTGAAGACACTCTGTGGTTAAAAAAAGCTTAATAAGCATAAGTTTGAATTTCTTAGATTAGAGGAAGCCTGTGAAATATTTTCTACAGATAGTTTGGATGACAATATAAAAGATTTGTCACCAAAAATGAAATTTTCAAGAGAATGGAGCTGGCAAGAAAACAAAAAAACCAACAATCAAGTCAAGAAGCTATTAAAAGTATAGGGTTAGAAGAACTAGAATTTAAAGACGCGTTTTGAAGTCTTCCCAAATTAGCACACAATCTTTTGAATGAAAAGGATACCTTCACATGTAAAAAAGCTCTGGAAGCAATACAATTTTTCCCTTCTATTATTCAATCATCATACAATATTGTCATAGCGCTTTCAATGACTCAAGTTAATGTTGAACGAGTATTTTCAGCACTTAAATTTCTGGCGCCAGATCAAAGAAGCCATATGACATTGGATCTCATTAATGATTTGGTATTTCTAAGGACAAACAACGAATACATTTGATTTTTATGAAATTTAGTTTCGGTTTATAATATATTGAAATAAATGTATATTTACCCTTAATGTAATATGTGGTTTTAGAGTACTGATACTAATACATTTACCTTGTAAATGTATTAGTATCAGTACTCTAAAAAGTAAACATGAATATTGATTTAAAACAAATTGCTTTAATAAATTTGAATTTTAGTAGGCATATGAGATCTGAAAAAATATTCTAAAATTAACATTTTTTGTTTATTAAGTTCGGCAGCCGTTTATTTCTTAGGAGCCGAGCCAGAGCTGAGCCGGAACCAAGCCGTCAAAAAAATTAACTGCTCCACAAGCCTATACACACACACATATATATATATATATATATATATATATATATATATATATATATATATGTATATATATATATATATATATATATATATATATATATATATTGTTGAAAAATTATGAGTTAAAAAACCTTTTGGTTTGTGGTTGTCTAGCATAAATAAATATATATATATATATATATATATATATATATATATATATATATATATATATATATATATATATATATATATATATATATATATATATATATATAAAGGAATGTAGATAAAAATAAAAATGACACTGCTAAAGACATTTAACTTTGACAAGATAAACTCATAGTGCTATTTCTATTTGTTTCATTTCTATTATATTTCTACTGATTTTAAGAAAAGTCTATCATTAGAGAAAAAAAAAATTTGTTTAGAATTATTTTTTTGTTTTTTACATCTGACTTAAAACTTTTTTGCAAAGCCATTGTTTTTAAACAATTTGTTACTTTTATGACATGTTTTTAAACAATTTGTAATTTCTATGACATATTACTTTTAAATAACAAGATATATTACTTTTAAATAAATTATAAAAATATCAATAATTTTTAATTATTATTAAATATTAGATATATTACTTTTAAATAAATAAAAAAAAAACTATCAATAATAACTTTTATTATTTTTATTTTATGAACTATTATTACTTTAAAAATTGCAGAATCAGAAAACTCGCAAATCAAACAATACTGGGTGTCATTTGACCTGCGAGTTTTAAGAGAGAAATGTAGTCATCCATTTTATTTGGCTATTTTATCGATCAGAACAAGAACCTGCCTGATTTTGGGGAAATGCAACATGAATTTTTATGTTGCAAAATGTCTTTTTTAAAATCCTGGTTGTGAAATAGCTCCATCTTTGTTAATTTTTACCTAATGGAATGATTTTTTTCTGCAAGTTCACAAAAAAGTTTTTTTTCTGCAAGTTCAAAAAAAGTTTGCACTTTTCAAAAATCTAATTGTAAATAACTTTAAAATTTAATTAGAAACTTATATATTTTGTTTTTGCATAATGGTATTAAATAGTGATATAATTTTATCATTACCGTACTATTTCTTAATTTTTTATGGACAATCAAGTTCCTGTAAGTTTTGGGCACCAATAGAGCTTGTTTCTCCAAGGTGACCTTCTGGTGATTAAATTGCAACAGCACTATCTCATTGTTTGCATCAACAACTTCCCAGCTTTAATTCAGAGGTTTAAACAGTTTAATCTCTGGTTTAACAGTTTTATTTACGGCTACGGTTATACGAAGCTCTCCAACATGATGGCAGGAGCTTAGAAAGAATATATTGAAAGTTAACAAACCTTGAATAAATCCCTTTTTAATGAACAGTGTTTGTAGTGAGATATCTGAGATCAAAAGTATTTAACAAATTTTTTGAATTACAAAAATTATTTTATAATGAATCAAAATCAAAAATAAGAATAAAAAACATTGCAAGGGATCTTTACAAGTATTAATTTCTATGTTAGTGGTCATTTTTGTTCCACAATTTTGGTTTTAAATTTCATGGGGTTGTAGGAAATTTATTGTGTTTAAAATTTAAGGAAACTAATTTTCTTTATTTAGTGGCAGAAACAAAATTGTTGAAAGAAAAAGTAAGATAAAATAAAAATAGAGTTTCTTATTGTATACATTCAATTAATTTAAGTTAATTATTATACTACATACATAGATTTATTTACACTCAAACATTATAATAATTATTTACACACAATTATTATAAACAAATTTGTTATATAAATTAATTAGTCTAGTGGTTTCTAGACTTTTTATAATGGTAAAAAAAAATTATTGAAATAAAAAAAAAGTAAAAATTAAACTTATTATTATATACAATTATTTACAAAAATTATAGACAAAAATTTTTATTATATAAATACAATGTTAAATTACTGTATTAAAATCATATCAATTTTTAATTATATTTTCTACTTGATAAAAACTACATTTATGGTAAATTTCATTATCTTACATATATATGTTTATCACGCTATGTTTTAATTTGATAGATTGCTGAAAATGAAGGGTTTTCAGTTCAGCTTTGTGAAATGGCTTTAAATTGTGTAGAAAAAAAAGATTGGGATTCCGTTTGCGTTTGGATAAAAAATCAGTTACCTAAGCTTACAAATATATTTATGGAATACAGTAAACAAGTTTTTTCTCAGCATGAGGAAATTATCAGTGAAAAAGAAGTACATCAGTTTTTGTATGATTTTGAAGTTAAAGTGAGTTCAGCATTTAAAGCGTTTCAAAAAAAAAGGGAAAAACAGGTTAGTCATGTAAAATCACATTTAATATATACATAGTATAAACTATTATTTAAGAGTTTATAAACTACAGACATTTTAACACAATATTATAATTTGTACAACTCTAATTTTTGAAAACTTGACATTAATCTTTCTGGAATAATATATATATACAATATATATATATATATATATATATATATATATATATATATATATATATATATATATATATACACCTTGTACAGAAAGTTTAAACGCACTTGTTTTTTTAAAAGTTAAGGTATGTTTAAAGTGATACAAAGAGATAACATGAGGTAGGGTCCAGGTTTTTTTTTTTTAATATTCTTAGTCGATTATTATTTAAGAAAAAAACACAACTTTGAATAAGAAAAACACAAAATCTTTTCTGAAATTAAACAACAAACTCAAGTAATCAAAAGAATACTTAGAAGAAAGTGCATTAAAGTTTAAACCACCTACAACTTCTTTTAATCAAAATATATTAATACGGAATATGAACCCAGTTGTTTTTAATACATGCTTGTATTCGCCTTGGCATTGATTCGATTAAGTTTTCAATCATCTTGATTAGTATTTCAAGCCACAATTTGGTCAGTTCTTGTTTGAGCATTTCCTGACTAGTTATTTGCTTTTTTGTTAGTTGATAATCCATCAAGCTCCATAAATTTTCAATTGGGTTTAAGTCTGGTGATCGTGCTGGCCAAGGCATAAGTTGAATATTACTTTTAAGGAAATAATCAGTGATTGAATGCGCTGTATGGCATGGAGCATTGTCTTGTTGAAATAACCAGTTTTGATCAGCCTGGAACAAATCACAACTAGGGATAAGCGCCTTTTCCAAAATGTCACGATACTCATACTGGTTTAATCTTCCTTCGTATATTTTATGACAGCCAACACCTGAGCCTGATATACATCCCCATATGTTGACGGAACCACTGCCTTTTTGAATACGGCTTAATAGGTGTTGCTTCAAGTATTTTTCTGTATTTTTGCGACAAACAAATCTCTTGTTTTTTCTGTTAATAATTTTGAAATTTGATTCATCACTAAAGATAATCATTTTCCATTATTCTACTGAATAATTTAAATGCTCTTTGCACCATTTTTTTCGTCTTTGGCAATCGGTTAACGTCAACAAAGGCTTTCTTACACAATGAAATAAATTTAATTCTTTCTTGCATAATAACTTACTTATAGTCATTCGACTAACTGGTTTGTCTACCAGCGAACTATTGATTTCTGCACTTAAAGTTGATACGCAATGAAAACATGTAAAGCATGTTTTCATTGCGTGCTGTCAGTTTTTTCGGACACCCAGTACAAGGTTTATCATTGACACTACCAGTTGATAATAATAATTTTTTGTTGTTGTACGAACGCTGAATTCAGAAATATTTAGGCGTCTGCCAATTTCTCTTTTGCTTATTTTCATTTTATGCATTCCAATGACTTGCCATTTTGTTTTCGACGAAACAGCTTTTTTACCCATTAAAATATGATATTTTGACAAAGCTGTATCAGTTGAAAATTGCTATATTTTAAATCAAATCGTATTTGTGGTTTTTATTCTAAATAAAATAGGAATAGGAATCCAAATGAAATATACTAACGTTAACAGGCTGTTGAGTGATAAAAATGCAAAAGACTTCAATAAAAAATCTCTCAATAAACGAGTTTCACGCGTTTTCTTATCAAAGTGCATTTAAATTTTATTTCAAAAAATTGAAAGGAGTTAATTGCTCCGTCACTTTTCTCATACTCTCCAACTCTGTTATTCCGTTAATTTTGTTATCACTATCCACCTCCGTTATATTATCCATACAATTTTTTTTCTATCTAAACTAATAACTTATAGCCATAGTATAAATAAACATAAAAATACAGAACATATCTCATTAATTTATCGGGTTATCATTTCTTAAAAGTATTATATAAGTTAAAAAAACAAGTGCATTTAAACTTTCTGTACAAGGTGTATTTATATACATAAAATATATAAACAAAAGTGCAAATATTAAAATATAAACTAATAATAAACTATTTAAATTATTAAGAATAACTATGTAAACATGAACTAGAAGGTAAACAAATAAAAATCAAAAGTAAAATGATATATAAAAATAATAAATGATATATAATAAATAACTTAGACTGAGTTATACAGATTTTTACTAAGCAGGAGAGTTTTCAAATCCCAATAAATTTTCTTTGTCAACTTTTTAAAAATTTTTCTCCCACTTAAAAGAAAGTGCTAAGATAGCTTGTGTTTTTTTCATAATTATAGAAAATTTTGAGTTTATTAAAATTTGGAAAACTTATTTTGTTTTTAAACTTTATTAGAGCTTTTTTTTTCAAACAAAATCTGGATAATTTTTAAGTTTATATATTTTACTTATATTAGGTTTCTATAGTACTTATCAGTTACTAAGGATCAAAGGGACCTAAAATAAAAACATAGTTTTAAGACTGCAAAAAACAAAGTTTTTTTTATTATTATTATTATTTTTTTTTCTAAAAAAAAAATCAAATCCTTTTAAACTGCCTACAATTGACTGAGATCTCCATAGCACTTAATAATTCAATTAAGTTAAATAAAGTTGAAATTCTTTGTCTTCTATGTTCATAATTTTAAAGTGATCTATAGGAATTTACGCATACACTTTAGGCAACAAGTTAAAAGTTCAAATAATTTCTATTCAAAACCAAGGTATATTTGTTACACAGTTTATCAATTCTGCTACTCTGTTGATAGCTACTTCAACACTTCAAAGATAGCTACTTCACCAATTATTTCAAAGTCATCTGAGGATGTTGATGCATTATAATCTTCATAACTCAAAGATCATTTATAATATATAGCAAATGCTTTTTTCATCCATATACTTATTGTCACTAATTCTTGCAGTGTTTTCTAAATTATATTTGTTGGTTTCTTCACTCACATCAACATCATAGAAAGCTAAGTTTGGTATTTTGTCAACAAATTTTTTATTTTTTTTGTTTATGACATTCTTTAAATCTATTTGATAAGATCAAAATTGTTTGAGATAAGCGCACTATTATTATTGGAAAACTTTATTATTATTATTTCATTTTTAGTTAAGGAGAAGTTAACTTAAACTTATAGTACTAACCCTTCAGAGGGCTCTTGGTTGAGTAAAGGTTATAGATAAAAGTATCTTGATAAAAAACACTTGCACATATAAGGTGTAGTCGGCTTGTTTTTAAAAATGTTTTTTTTAAAAATTGTGACGTTAAGGAAATAAATATTTTGCTCGGACTTTTTGTTTTACAGTTAGAATTCAATTATTATATTTAATTATGTTATTTGCTTCCTTGTTTATAGTTTTTATTATTTCTTGTTAAACTATTTTTGTTTAAGAAGTTTCTAAGGTTTTTGTTGTTTTGTTGCTTGATAAGTTTCTAAGGTTTTTTGTTGTTTTGTTGCTTGATAAGTTTCTAAGGTTTTTGTTGTTTTGTTGCTTGAGAAGTTTCTAAGGTTTTTGTTGTTTTGTTGCTTGAGAAGTTTCTAAGGTTTTTTGTTGTTTTGTTGCTTGAGAAGTTTCTAAGGTTTTTGTTGTTTTGTTGCTTGAGAAGTTTCTAAGGTTTTTTGTTGTATTGTTGCTTGAGAAGTTTCTAAGGTTTTTGTTGTTTTGTTGCTTAAGGTTTTTGTTGTTTTGTTGCTTGAGAAGTTTCTAAGGTTTTGAAAATTTTTGATTCATATACTGTTAATGTTTTTTTTTAGATAAATTAGTTAGAAAATGCCTAAATATTATGCCTAATAATTACAACTTGGTTACATTTGTTTAAAGTAAAATGGCTTGGTGTAGACAAAAAACAGGCACTATTCTGTTAAGAGTTACTACTGTACTGTAAATGTTGTTACTGTTAAGTATTACTGTTCTTATTTGCTAATATAAGAGCAACATTATCAAGTTATTGTTAATGAATTTAGACATATTTAAATATAAGTTTAATAAATAATAAAGTTAATGATGCTGATAAATGGTAGCTGTTTTAAAATTTGTTCCAGTTTTTGAGTATTTATGGGTATGCTTAAATCAATCAAAACACTAAAAACATGAGATAAACATATCCACATTTGAAGCTAAAATTCATTCTTTCATTTTCATTCAAATTTTATGTAATCTAAATATTCAAAAAATTACTAAACTGATTCTGAAAAATTTTTTAGTTAAAAAATTTTTCAGAACCAGTTTAGTAAATTTATTTCAAAGGACCTACCAAGGCTAGTTTTAATGGGATAAAAGATTTGCTCCTTTATTTCAAAAAAAGTTTCAATTGAGTTTGTCTGATGTACTAATGTATCTTGTTACACTGTTTTATTTGATAATTACAATAGAACAAATTTTTCAGAAGAACATTTAGTTTGATTTTGGGATGGTATATCATATCAATGATCTCTTGCACAATTTATTGTGCACTTAGCTAAATTAAATGAACAATTTAGTTCATACAACTGCAATTGATGTTATGTAAGCATTCCTAAACTGTATTTCTGATATAGATAAACTCAGGACTTTGCATTTGCTTTCTTATAGATAAATTATGTTATTTTTGCAGTTATAATCCTCTCTTAACCCTAAAACTTTGAAACATGAACCTTGAAAAACAAGAATGCTGTGCAAAGAAACAAATTTTTTTTTTCTTTAGCAAATGTAACAGAATATATTTGAAGAGTTAGTACATTCTCAATTTTTAATGCAATAGCCAAACAAATAGATCAAATAACAAACAAATAGATCAAGTAACAAAGTTTATCTTAAACTTAAACAAAGTTTATTAAGAAGAGGAATGACATTCTTAAGTTATAACAAGGATACATTCTTAAATTATATCAATTGTTAACATCATTGTTGTTATAACAGTTGTTAACATCATTGTTGTTATAACAGTTGTTAACATCATTGTTGTTATAACAATTGTTAACATCATTGTTGTTATAACGATTGTTAACAATCATTGTTGTTATTACAATTGTTAACATCATTGTTGTTAAAACAATTGTTAACATCATTGAACGATGGATAAAAGTTTTAGTATAATAATAAGTTCTTAATACATGACATTTCAATGGTAAAGAAAATGTACCTAAAAGGATCATTTATGATTTATATTAGAAAAATAAATAAAAAATTTGAAATATTATTTAGGTATAATCAGGGATGCAGGGTCACAAAATAGACTCCGGATTTGAAAGTCACAAAAATATAATTTCTTGCTGGCTTTTGGCATCCAGGAGCTCAAAAAATTTAAAGTTGTTTATGACTACTTTTAAGAAAAAAGTTAAAATTTTACAGGAACAATATGTTTTTAAGCCTGACGTTCTTATGTATAATAGCCGCATAGACTTCAGGATTCCGGGACTCTGGGCTAAATGGCAGTTAAATCCAAATCATTAAATTCCAAGAATTTTTATCTTATTTAGAACATAAGTCAGGCTATATTTTGAAAGCTCCTGGACACTAATGGCAGAAAAATATAGGGATTTAAAGCCAGGGCCCTTTGAGGACTCTGCATTCCTGGGTAAAATAATTAGTCAGTGCAGGTCAGGTTCAGAATCATCATGATTACCCTGCTACTAGTATTATGTAATCCAGTTCTACCTACCTCATGCCCTGCTGCCTTGGTTTACTTTTTTAAGCAAAGGTTAGGAGGAAAAAACTCCAACTTAAAAATCCTCTGCTTTAGGGTTCTTGGTTGAGTAAAGGCTAGAGATGGTATCTTGATAAAATTACTCATCTTGGGCAAATGTTAACTGCATCCAGCTACTGTCTTCTAAAAGGCCTCTTAGGCAAAGATTTGAGGGGTAAGCATAATTCTACTGACCAGCTTTGAAACCCTTCTTTATCTATTTGGCTGGTATAGATGTAAATCTGTATTACATTGTTTCCTGCTTCAGATGATGAATGTTCGATCTTCTTGAATATACTCATAGATTTTTGCTTGTGCCTCCTATATAGTGGCTATGTAACTCTTCCTCTCCTAATGAGGGTAGAGCTCTAAAATTCAGAATAATGGTTCTGAGGTCGGCTAGTAGTAAGGTTTCCTAAACTCTATGATAAGGAGTTAGTTCCTAAACTCCTCATAAGGAGCCCTATGTTATATTTTTTATGTTAATTAACCCTATCTATGACTTAGGGTTAATTAACAGGACTGATATAACTGCAAAGCTCATTGCATAGGACGCCATGTTCTATTTATGAATGAGTCAAGTTCTCTTTAAACTTATGTCAAAAAGTTCGCCGAAAAATTAAATATGAAAAACCATTTCTACCATCTATCTGAGTTAATATATCTTTTACAAATACTCGAGGTCTAAAAAACACTCTTTCATCAGTTGAATCTTACCTCTTGCAAAATTTACCAGACTTGTTTACTTTGTGTTAATGGCTACTATCTTTTGATTTGCAAAGACTCCAATAGTCAAATACTTGGCTTGAGGTATACATAAACACTAATTCACCTATTTGTCATGAAATCAGGTTTAAATTTTTTGACTATTTTATGTGCTTCAGCATAGCATCTCTTCACTCTACTATCTTTCTCTTTGTTCATTATCGTTCTCCTTCTTCCCAAGATCTTTCAGATGTAATTTCTGTTCAGTTTGATCATGCACTTTCTATTTAACTCTCTGCCAATATTATTGTTATTGGTGACTTTATTACTCATCACACTAAATGGCTTGGCTCTAACGCCACTGACCCTGCTGGCACTAAATCCTATAACTTCTGCATTTCACAATCTCTTACTTAGATAGTTAACTTTGTGCTCATTTTCTTGACAACCCTAATCATTTACTTTCACTCCTTGATTTATGTCTAGTCTCTACTTCTAGTTCGTGATCAGTTTCTCCCTTTTCTCTCTTAGATGGTTCTGACCATGCAATGATCTCTTTAAATCTTTCATCTCGTTTTTCTATTTTAAACTCACTCTATTGTCACACTACCTACTACTACCCTAAAGCTAACTGGGATTTTTTTCGTAATTTTTTTTTTGACTGTCCTTGGGCTGATGTATTTTCTCTCTCAGCAGAAAATGCGCCTTTTATGTAACCTGCTGGATTCAGGCAGGAATGGAAGCTTTTATTTCTTCTCTTCGGTTTCAAGTTAAGCCTCATTCTGTTCCATGTTTTTCACTTTCTTGTGCAGCTGCTATATTTAATCGTAATCATTTTTTATTTATACCTGATATGCTATATTTAATCGTAATCATCTTCTTCAAAAGAACAACTCTCTTGAGAACAAACCTGTTGCAAAAGAATCAATGTAAAAAGGTGCTTTCTGATGCTAAGTTTTATTATTCCCAAATTACTAAATCTTGAAAATGAAGTTTACCCATTGCTAGACCTTCAAATCACTCCAGCTTCTGTCGTATCTCAATTAAACTTTTCAATGGCTTGTGGTCCAGACAACATTTCTTACAAAAGTGTTCTCCAGAACTCTCTTTAATTCTCTCTAAACTATTTAAAAAGTGCTTGATTGTGTTTTGTTTTTCTACTTGCTGGAAAATGGCAACTGCATTAAATGGAGGCAGCAAGACTAGGGCTATTGCTCTTGACATATCTAAAGTTTTTGACAAAGTTTGACCCACTGGTCTTTTCTATTAGCTTGCTTCTTATAGTGTATCTGGGACAGTTTTTTGAGATTATCAAATTGTTTCTTTCTAACCGCCTTATAAAAGTCATCCTCAAAGGACAACACTTTTCTTTATTTCCAGTAACTTCTGGGGTACCTCAGATGTTCTATCCTTGGCCCTGTTTTGTTTTTTATCTATGTTTATAATCTTTCTGACAACCTTACATCATTACTGACTCTGTTTGCTTTTGACTTAACTTTACACTCTCTTGACACTTACTTCTGACCTCATGGAAACCATATATATAATTGATTGAAAAATTAGCATCTGCTAAGGTTGCTTCTTTTTATCATGCTTACTTTTTTTTTACTTCTGATTCCATTTTCTACCTTTACAATTTTTTTATTCATCCCTGTATGGAATACTGTTGTCATATTTGGTATGGTTCTTCTAATGATGTTCTTTCTTTTCTAGACAAATTCCAAAAAACACTGTAAGTGTAGATGGACTTTAAGAAAATGGGCCTCTCTCCCATTTTTTATAAAGTAACATCTCTTTTTCTTCTCTAAGTACTATCATGCTTGCTTCTCAAAGGAGCTACCATCTCTAATTCCATCAACTAAAACTCATTATCGTTTGACTCATCATTCAGTTAAGTCTCATTCTTTTACTATATCTGTCCCTGCATGCTCTAAAAACTTTTATTTGTCTAGTTTTTTTCCTTGTACTTTAACCCTTTGGAACTCTCTCCCATCTTCATGTTTTCCTGACTCATACAACCTTCAACTTTTTAAGTTTTCTGTCAACCGTTTCTTAGCTCTATAACTCTGTTCTTTTTTTCTAGTAACTCTCAACTTTGCTTACAGTCTTGTTAAGATTGAATCAGAATTATAATAAAAAACAATATTTATCATTTTTAATTTAAATTTTTTTATTTTTTATTTTATATTTAATTTTTATTTTATTTTTTTATTTTAAAGTTTAAAGTTCAAAGATTTAAATATATTTTTTCGTGATTTTTTTTGTTTAAAAATATTGTCAATTTAAATGGATGTATGCACATAAACACACTTATTGTCTAATTTTGAATAATGCTTGTTAATTTTTATGCATCCATACTCATCATATATTTTAATAATTTTTTCATTTAATTATTAGATTTTAGATCTGAAGTCAAAGTTTTCAGTTACTGAACAAGTAATACATAATGTGTTATTTATCTCTGAAGGTTTTATTTTGTTTTTGTGTTTCTTTTATTTTATAATCTATAAGTTTAAATGTATATTTTTTCCCCTTTGTTTAGTTGCTTTTGAATATTTTTAATTTTTTTTATTAATAAAATGTTACTTAATATTAAATTGTTAATAAAATAAAATTTGGCAAAATTAAACAGCATCACTATTACCTGATGTCACACAATACATATAAATACCGTATTCCAACCACAATACAGCAATTTTAAGCCTGCAGTTTTAACCCTCTGGGCACACTAGATAAAATCATTTTTATCTCATACAAGTTTTCTAATAATGATTTAATGTTCTGCTTTTTAGTAGCTTAATTTTTTTTCTACTTTTATTGTTCTAAATTATCAAATATGTTTAAATCACTTTATATGAATTGATTTTTATCATTTTGTTCAAATTGAAACATTGCACCCTTGTATGTTACATTTTATAAGTTTGGTTATAATAAAAAAAACTTATATCTGGTAAATACATTTTTGAGTTTGTAGACATAATTTGATATTATTTATTGTTCAATTCAATGGGGATGTATTTTTTATAATTAAAATATCAAATTAATATGTTGGTTAAAAAAGTCTTTATTACAATAGGTTGAATATAAATCTAATCTTTTGTACATATAATTAAAACATTTTCTATTTATATTTTTAAATAATATTTTGATTTGTTCATCTTTTTTTTTGATATTAGTAATTCCTCCTACTTGCCTCTAAAATGGATGATAGTGTGAGATTATTTAATCTTGAAAGCTCAATTATTAGATGAAGAAAAAGAGGTAAAGATTAAAACAGTTTTCCTAAAGAGATGTTTTAGTGATCCCTAAACTTATTTCAAGAAGGGCAAAAAATAAGATCAAAAGAACTTAGTGGTAGTTTACACCGTTTTAGAACAATCTCAATTTTAGAACAATGCCAAGAAAACATTAGAAATGAAAATAAAAGAAAAAGATGACAGACATCCACACAAAATAAACAATTAACAAGGTATAGTTTAGGCCCGTAGCAACCAAAGAGGAGGTGGGGGGCAGGAGCATTTGCTTCCCCAATATTTTTTCAAATAATTAATTTTGAAAAAAATGATTTAAAAAAATTACTTATAAAAAAATATTTCATTAAAACTATTTCGGGGTAGTACTGCCCGTTAATATAACTTTTGTTTCTACGGGCCTGTAATTGTCATTAACCTCATCAACCTATTTGTTTGACACACCTAAAAAGCTATTGCGGAAATAGCGTAAAAACTGTACCAGGTTTTGACGTTCAGAAATGATATGTTCGAACATGATGGTTAACATATTAAATTAATATTATATAAAGGTTACACTTCCTTTCAAAGAATTCAGAAACTATTTTTTTTTTTAATTTTTTAATTATATAATTAGCTTTTTAAAATAGTCTTTTAAAAATTTGTATCAATTTGATCAATGCGCCTCTTTTATTGTAAACAGCAATTGTCATGGAATATTTGATTATTGTAAATATTTTTGATTATTTCATGTTTGTTCAAAGATTATTTAAGTAGTTAATTAAAAAAAAATTAAAAAAAAATTAGAAATAAAATAGTAAACTGGTCAATTGTTATGCGTATTCCAGAGTTACAAAATAATTGCGTCCGACGGAGGGTTAAGCAAACAATTTCAAGCAAGCAATTCCAAACTTTCATTAATATTCCTGTATTATGACACACAATAAAGTAGTTGAAAATTTTTATTAACATTTAAAATTTATTGTTTAACTTAAATTATTGTATAACACACGCAGTGCCTTTCAGGTACACTTAAGAAGGCACATTTACATATTATTTAAACTCTGTTATTTATTGGGAAAAAAGGGTTTCGATTTAACTATCAGAAAAAATATCAGAATATCCTTGATCTTGAAATCTAATCTTTAGATTGTTGAGACTCTTCAACTTGAATTTAAAATTATTCTTATTTAAAATCTTCAAAAATTATTTTTGAACATTTTGAATAGTTTACAATAGTTGCTTAGATACTAATTTGAAAATTTTAGGTGATCAAATTAGAGCTGAAGAACTTCTTCAAAAAAAAATCAATGGTAACGAAATAAGGGATTTGTTAAAGAAGACAACTGAAGTGACTTTTAAAAAGCTGACAGATCCTAATATTCCAAATGAAGTCTCATCTTTTTATTTTCATTTTTGTTATTAGTAATTGAGTTTTTATTCTTCTTATATTTATTTATTTTTTTTTTTATTTTTTTATTTTTTTTTTTTATTTTTTTTTTGAAATTTTCTAGGAAAAATGCCAAATGATTCACAGACATTATCCAAAGATTACTTGGGAAAAAGCTAAAATGTGTTTAAAGTTAATAAATCTTAATAAATATGAAGTCGAAGACTGCCTTAAGGCTGTCAAAAGCAATCGTTTTTATAATGATTGTATACAATTTTTGGAATGTAATTGTTGCATGTGTTATAACAGTTACCCTAGACATAAGGTATTTTTTATTTGAATTATTACAAATGCATTATTTATTATTTATTATTCTTTATGTTTTTTTATTATTTATTAAGTGAAAGTAATAATAACCTATTTTGCAAAACAAGTTTGAAAAAATCTGTTGTTCAACAAAAAACTTGCTTCTGTGACAAAAATAGTAAATACTTTGTGTCCCTGACACAAGGTATTAACAAGAAAAAATTACTTAGAAAGCAGCAAGTCCAGCAGGGTGGAAGGTAGTTGAAATTCAAATTAGAGTTTTGTATGTGTGGTTATGGAGAGGCAGCCATACTTCCATATTGGTCATATTGGTACCACATGTAACCTGAGTGCATAAACACCTATTTTTTAGAACTTTATCCTGATGCCTCAAATCTATGTTGCTTTGCAATGGAAATAACTACCCGACTATTCTAATGTCTTATTCTATGCATCTCAAAAAAACTGCACCATTGTTAAAATGATGATGTGTGCATTAAATTATAATGACAATGGATAGGGTCAGACTATTTTCTTCAAAAAGTTCAAAAAGTTTCATTGTTTTCTTAGCTTTTGGGAAAGCACGCCACATAACCACGTCAGATCAAGTTCTTTGTGGGCAAGAGCTTTATGAAGTGGTATAGAACATTTTAAAGATTTATATCTCATCACTACACATTAATTCAAGTCACATTCAATTTCTATCTGCTCTTGAAAGAGTTGGTATCTTTTAAGTTCCTTTATAAAGATCTTTATGATGTCACTCAAAGTCCATACTCATCTCAATAAATTCTAAAAGAAAATGGAAGTTTACCCAAAGAAGCAAGGTAAGTGATTATATATATATTTGACTTTAAACATCATCATCAGGAACAGTATAATAAAGGCATGATGGGAGACTACATTTGGGAAAAACTTTGTAAAAGTGATTTACACTTGCAAATCTAGAATATCTACTAATTTCTTTAAGTTACTCACTTTTCTTTTTAAATGATTTTTTACTATCTTTGGGTATTCAATATGCCCTTGTTGTTTCTTACCAAGCTGAATGAATAAAAATATGAATTTTTTGTTTGTTTTGTATCAATAAAAGTTAATTTTCTTTATGTTCATGTAATTAGTTTTTTTTTATTCTTTTCTACATAAGCAATTGAAGTATACACTTTAAAAATATGTACAAAATTGTGTTACATAGCGTAATTTATTTTTTGAAGTAAAAATTAATTATTAGTTTAAACTTAATTTGTATTTCAAATAAAATTTAAAAATTATTTGAATTTTTTTATAATTAGGATTTCATTATAAATTGATGTTTTTAAATTTTCTTTTTCATATAACACGTTTTTTAGTAATTGTATTTTAGATAATTAAAAATTTTTGAATTTTGCCTTTTTTAACAAAATTAATCCTAAAATACATGTAATTTTGATATTACATATTGAATTTTGTATGAAAAATTGACCCTAATTTATTAAATAATATTCTTATAATATTTTATATTATTTTAATTGTATTGTGTTTGTTTTAACTTTTAAAGACAAAAGTATTAAAGAAATAAAAATACTTTAAAACTGATATTACATTATTATCTTTTAGAAGTCTTTTTTTTTTTTTTATAAGACAAAAGAATATTGCATTGAAGATTTTTTATTTGTTTGTTTTTCTAATGGTTTTTTTATGTTAACTTAAAAAGTAAGGGTATATATAACCCCTAGAAATATTGTTAGAATTAATATGTTTAGTTAGGATAAAGTTTTTAACCATAAACAGCTTACAACTATTAAGCAATGATTGTAAATAAAAACATTTGTTTATATAATAATAAATTTGGTAAAAAAAATCTTGCATAATTAATTTGCAGTTAAAAAGTCATTAAAAATATTTGAGTTTCAAGAACTTATGAAAAATGTGTTTTTGCAATAAATACTATGAATCGAGTATGAGTTATTTGTTTAACTTTAGTTGCAAAAAGTGGCAAAATATTTATGATAGATTGCAGTTCTTATATTTTTTTACAATTTTTTTTGTTTTGATAAAAATTTAAATTTAAAACTTTAATAAAACACAATAAATCAGAGTAGCACAAATTTTAATTAAATTTTGTATTTTTAGATTAGGACCCTGTATTGTAATTAAAGACTTGATTTATATGTATATGTATATGTATGTATGTATGTATGTATGTATGTATGTATGTATGTATGTATGTATGTATGTATGTATGTATGTATGTATGTATGTATGTATGTATGTATGTATGTATGTATGTATGTATGTATGTATGTATGTACAATTGATGATACATTATAGAAACAGTCAAATCTAACTTAGATCCAGCCGTGTTGTAGTGGTTATAGTTCTGGCCTTAGAGCTGAAGGCCTGTGGTTTGAAGCTGGTTCTGGGCATATATACAACATTGTTAAGGAACAAGGTGTGAACCTGGTTATTTTGCAGTATCTATGTGTTCAATTGTTTAACTAAAGGAGCACGGCATTCAACAGAAAATAAAAAAACAATTTATAGAAGATATATAAAAGTGGTTATAATTCAGTTTAATAACACTAAACCCTTAATGACAACTCAAGATTGAAAACCTTTATTAAACCTTTATGAAACCCACTTTCATGGATTTTTATATATATTTCTTAATAAAATTATTAAAAAAAACAGACAAAAAATTGTAAGACATTTAAGAACATTTAAAAATTTTTCATTTTCACCTATTTATTTTATACTTTTAAAATAAATATTTGAACTTTTTTAACTACTTTTCAGCTTACATCTAATCAACATTGCCAATGTCAATATTGTTTTGGGTGCTACATAGAATATTTGAACGTAACCATCACTCAAAATCATATACGCAATTTGGTTTGTGCAAACTGTCAATTACCCACTGAGCAAGTTGCGCATAAATCAGATTATTTTAAAAATTTAGATAATCAGGTTAGTTTCTTGTTTGCATTTATTTAAAAAATAAGCTCAAACATTAGAAAATTAAAATTAAAAAAAATTGTTTTTAACTTATTGAAGTTTAATAAAAAAAAGATGGAGTTTTAATTATACTTTACTATTTTGTTTAAGATAATTTTGTAATTAATTAATTAACAATTTTTAAAAATATATGCAAAAGCACTCTTTTTTCTTAGTTATTACATTTTTTAGCTATATATGTAATATTTTAGTTGTCAAGTTCTAACTTTTTTACAGATTTTTTTATTAAGTTTGTGTTTCAAATAGCTATTTCATATATTATAATAATTTACATATATTATAATAATTTACATACCTAAATTTTTATTACCTTTTTTATTCAGTTTTTTTCTTAATATGCAATCCTTCTTAAAGCATAAGTTATTTAAAATGATAAATTTTTGTGGGTTTCATAGAGCCCCATATTGGCCATAGTTGCTATATATTGCCAGGTATTTGCCATAAATGTCAAATTATGCCAGTTGTATTGTATCCTAATTTCCAAATGCCTTTTTACTAAAATATTTTTAACATTTTTTATTACATCTCTACACTGTATTCAAGTCTTATGGATGTCTCAAATTTGAGTGTTTATATATATGACATGACTAACGACATTTAAAAACATTAGAAAATTAAAATGTATTTTAGATAATTAAAAATTTTTGAATTTTGCCATTTTTAACAAAATTAACCCTAAAATACATGTAATTTTGATATTACATATTGAATTTTGTATGAAAAATTGACCCTAATTTATTAAATTTATTCTTGTCACGATAAGAAGGCAACTCCCTCTGATTGCTTGCAGGGGGCATCTGAGCTCGAAAAGGATCTCACTTCTGCTACAGCATGGGGCTCGCAGTGGCTGGTGTACTTTAATTCAGATAAAACTCAATTTTTTTTGGCCAATCGGTATACCAATAATTTAGACCTTCCTAAATTTATGAACGGTAATGTACTCGATGAGTCTCCTACCCTTCATCTTCTAGGATTAACTCTTACTTCTGATCTTTCTTGGAAACCTTATATCAAATCCGTTGCAAAATTAGCATCTGCTAAAGTTGCTTCTCTTTATCGAGCTCGTCACTTTCTTACTCTGGATTCTATTCTCTATCTCTATAAATCTCAAATCCGGCCTTGTATGGAATACTGTTGTCATATCTGGGGCGGATCTTCTAATGATGCCCTTTCTCTTTTAGACAAGGTGCAAAAACGCATTGTAAACATAGTTGGACCTGCTCTTGCAGCCAACCTTCAACCTCTGTCACATCGTCGTAATGTTGCTTCTCTTTCTCTTTTCTACAAATACTATAATGGGCTCTGCTCTAAAGAGCTAGCGTCTCTTGTGCCATCTACTAAAATTCATTCTCGTGTTACTCGTCAATTAAGTCTCATCCTTTTTCTGTTACTGTTCCTAAGTGCTCTAAAAACTCTTATTTGTCTAGTTTTTTTCCTCGAACATCAGTTCTTTGGAATTCGCTTCCTTCATCTTGCTTTCCTGATTCATATAATTTGCAATATTTTAAGTTGTCTGTCAATCGTTATCTTGCTCTACAATCTTCATCTTTTCTCTTCCAGTATCTTCCAACACTAATTAGTGGTTGCTTGCAACCTTGTTGAAAGCGAAGATAATTAAAAAAAAAATAATAATAATATTCTTATAATATTTTATATTATTTTAATTGTATTGTGTTTGTTTTAACTTTTAAAGACAAAAGAATTAAAGAAATAAAAATACTTTAAAACTGATATTACATTATTATCTTTTAGAAGTCTTTTTTTTTTTTATAAGACAAAAGAATATTGCATTGAAGATTTTTTATTTTTTTGTTTTTCTAATGGTTTTTTTATGTTAACTTAAAAAGTAAGGGTATATATAACCCCTAGAAATATTGTTAGAATTAATATGTTTAGTTAGGATAAAGTTTTCAACCATAAACAGTTTACAACTATTAAGCAATGATTGTAAATAAAAACATTTGTTTATATAATAAAAAATTTGGTAAAAAAAATCTTGCATAATTAATTTGCAGTTAAAAAGTCATTAAAAATATTTGAGTTTCAAGAACTTATGAAAAACGTGTTTTTCATAAATACATTTTACAATACATTTTTTTAAAATAAAAAAAAAAATATCTCTACACTGTATTCAAGTCTTATAGATGTCTCAAATTTAAGTCTTTATATATATGACATGACAAACGACATTTTACATTGCATATTATCATCTGTCAGGTAATAAATCCTTTGTTTCAAATACTTTTTAAATTTTTTTCAAGTGCTCATGCATTTGCATCATTTGGTATATTTGATGACCCACTGTAAATACTGGTATTATCAGTGTGTTTCAATTAATAGTACAGTAAAAATAATAAATAATTTGTAAAAAAATAAGTTAAAACTCTGTAGTTATCCAATATGTCAAGTATTACCAAAAAAGAAACCTTGTAATTTAGGGGTATATAAGGTCATCTAAAACTCAGTAATTGGGCATAAAACAGGACACATTAGAAAAAAAACTAGTTTTATTAAAAAAACATTTTAGTATATCATTTTATATTAGGTTATTACTGCATCAGCGAAAATTATAAAAATCAATATAAAGGAATTATCTTGAGTACCCTTAACTAAATAAGTTGGAAATTATTGACTATGGAAAAGAATGGTTGCCTGACAGCCTTCTATTTTTAGGTCATATCATTTTTTCAGATAATTTAATTTACGATAAATTAATTAAAGGTTATTTTTAATTTCACATTTATTTACATTTACAGCATCTAAATTGTCTGGAAAAACAAAAACGAGCATCAGGTATTGCTAATCAAGTTGGTGTTTACGTAATTACTTTTATTGGATTAATTTAAAATGGTTTGTAATTAACTTATCCAAATATCTAGTAACATGTAGTTAGCTTATCCAAAATATATGAAAAAGCTACTTTTGTTTTAACTATTGATCTGAATGAAACTAGATGAAACTGGTATCTTCTTTTTTAATAGATAATACAAGGAAAAACAAAGTTCATACACTGTCTATAACTTTTAATTATCTGTTATGGTTGAAGACAACTGGTCTCATCGAAGATCAATATTTAAATATAGCTTGCAAACTCAGTGGATTTTATTTGCTTTCTTGTTTTTTTCTTTCCTTGTTTTCTTGGTAGTATGTTAAAATATATGACTGGATCTGGGTTTGAAGATCTCTTTTTAGAGTTTATGCTAAGAAAAGTTCACATCATGTCAGGAAAAGCAATATCTAGAGCTCTATGGGCACACTTTCTAGCTTACAGTGCCCTGTACAAATTGCTTTTAAATGATATATTTGTTGTTTATGAAATAAATTTTTCTGGAAAATCTAAGAGCCATGAGTAATTCTTTAAAAATTAACAAACTTATCGAGTTTCTTAAAAGTGAAAACTACAAATTTCTGGAAAATGCAATCAGTGGTTATATAGAGAAAAAAAAGGAAAAATCATAGAACAGAATTTAGATACAAATAGGTTTTAGCATTATCAATGGTCTTAATAATTATTAATGGTCTTAATAATTTGTTGTTGTCAAACTCAAAAATAAAATGATGCAATCAAATAATCACTCCACTCATTAACAAACATCATTAAAATAATTAAAAAGAAATCTGTTTATTTAAACTCAACTATTTTATTTATAAAATTAAGGTAGAGCGAGGCATATAGAGAACGCGGGGCATAAGGGACACTTTAGAAACTAGTTGCAGATAAACTAATCATAGTTAACACTGTTTTTTATAATTTTCATTAAAATTCATCGATATAAGAAGAAAGGAAAAAAAAAAAAATGCTAAAAATAAGCTATGACAACCAAAACAGAGTTTCATTCTAGACTAGCAAAATTTCTACATTTTGCAAATGGGTGGGGCAAAGACAGTGTAAAAAAATTGTAAAGCTTTAAAAGTGATAAAAACATTTAAACTTATAAATGACACTTTGTCATTTAAACTTGTTCATACATAAAAATCCTAATAAAGTAACATGCCATAACAAATTACATGCCCATTAGGGTTTTAAAATTTTTGATTTTCAAATTTTTGATTTTCAATTTGGTGGATAATTTTTATGGTGCCACTATATGTAAATATTAACTTCCAAAAAAAAATTGAAAAAAAATTATTTTTACCTAGGCGGGATTGCAGTTTTCGAAAAGGTAAAACTGTTCATTTATGCATAAAAGCAAGGAGGGTCAAAATTTTTAAATTATTGAAATATGAAACTATTTAGATTTTTTTATATATATTACCATATGCTGTGAAACGTGGATAATTTGTTTTTCTAAAAAAAAAAATTTTTTTGGGAAAAAGACCTTATATGATTGAAAAAAAAAAAGTTAAAATATAATAAATGATAAATTTTTTAAACAATTAGGACTTTCATTAGAATTTTTTCATTAGAAATTTTCAGACTTTATTTGTTTGAATGACATCTTTATAGTTCAGCTTAACAACATCGTTTAGCTTAACAACATTAAAAACAAAACAATGTTAAGTTATGATATAGTCATAAAAATGTTTTTGTTTACAATTTTGTTAAAAAAAGGTTACTAAAATTTTTTTTTGATTTTAGCTCAGGCAAAGTTTTTTTGTTATTCATTTGTGCTTTCATAAACCCGTCTCTTTTTTCAAAACTACAAACGGAAAGTGCTGCCTCTGTAACTTCTTTTACTTCCCTTTCACAAGATTGCCTGTGAGAGAAAAGTACTTAGCTTCAAAACGAGTGACCAGATATTTGTCAAGATCGTATGTAGAGATTTGGCATGTAAACACTGGTTCTGATATTTTTTCCTTTTCTCAATCTATTAGCTCTTTGATAGACAAAGCTTCTGTATTGAGAAAAACCTTTTTTCATGACCTTACAGCGGTGTCTCCAAACTGTGAGGTTTTCCTAATATCTTTAATTGTTTTAATGCCAAACTTTCTTGATTCTTCATCTGAACTTG